TCTATCTATCTATCTATCTATCTATCTATCTATCTATCTATCTATCTATCTATCTATCTATCGAGACAGGTCTTATGAATCCCAGGCTGCCTTTGAACTTGCCGTGTAGCTGAGGATGACTTTAAACTTCTGATCCTTCCTCCTCCACTGTCTGGCATTGCAGGTCTGCACCACCTGGTCCAGACAGAGTACTCTTGAAGGAGCCGAGCATTCATTGGTGGGCGGACTCTCCACACCTTAGTTTTTGCTGTTGTTGTGAGGGCCCCATCCCCCAAACTGCAGCTAATGCCACAGCGAAAGTCCAGGCGGTATGCTTGCCTGCAAGAACACTGAACTTGGAGTTCAGCGTGGCTGCTCTGGTTCCTGTTTTATCCCGGTACAGCCAGTTTGGAACATCAAGCAATAAACACTGAAGTTTTGTGGAGCCTTGTGACTGGGCGGTGGAGGCCTTAGTGCCTCTCCACTTCCCTCAGAGTGCTGATGGGAGAACAGATTCCTCGCTGAGCAAAAACACAACAGGAAATGGAATTCCAGGCACTCAGAGGCACTGCCTGTAGTCTCATTAAGTATAGAAAGTGAAAACTGGACCTTTTATGGAGCAGTGTCACAAAGGGTGATAACTGGTTAAGAACTCAGGTTAGAGCTGTGTGTGGCCCATCACACCTCCAATCCTAGCACTCAGGAGGCAGAGGCGGGCAGCTCTCTGGGAGTCAGAGGCCAGTCTGGTCTGCATAGTGACTTCCAGGCCAGCCAAAGCTACATAGTAAGAACCTGATTCCAAAAATCAAATAAAAACAAACCAGCCAACCAAACAGACAAAAATTCCTGAGAGGGTGAGGAGACAGGTCAGCCAGAGAAGCGTTTGCTCCTGAGGAATGACACCTGACATTGTCTGGCACCCACACGAGTATGCACATGCGCACACACGTACTAACACACATGGACACATACACAGAGAGGGGGAGGGACAGGGAACAGGCTATGGGCTCGTGACTTGGCTCTGGCAGGTAAGGCACCTGCCGCCAGGCTCGCTGGCCTGCCTTCAGTCCCCAGTAGATGGCTCAGCAGGTAAAGCACTTGCTGCCAAGCCCGAGGACCTGAGCTGGGTCACCTTGACCCAACTAGGAGAAGGAGAGAGACAACTCCTGCAGATTGTCCTCGAATCTCTACAAACATGCTGTATTGTAGCCTTTGTGTGTCCTTCCCGGTTTGGTTTTTCTTTTAATTTTTTCCCTCTATTTTCAAGGGGTTGGAGCGATGGCTCGGCCTCTAAGAGCTCCTGCTGCTCTTCAGGGGGTTCACTTTCAGCGCCCCGCACTTATGTGGTGGCTCTCAACCATCTACACGTCCAGTTCCAGGGGGTCCCATAGCCTTTTCCGATGTCTGTGGACGGCAGCCACGCACATGGCACACACATACACCTAGATGCAGGCAAAAACACTCATAAACATAGAAATATGACACGTTTGACTTTTAGAAGGAACTTGATCAAGGTTACAGATGGTGCACATCTGTGATCCCAGCACTAGGGAAGTGGAATCAGGAGAATCCAGAATTCAAGGCCAGCCCTGGCTCCACGGTCATTTGAGGTCAGCCTAGGATACATGAACTCAGACCTCAACACAAGCAAGCGAACACACAGCAAGCCAGCCAAGCCACAACTCTGCTCCCTGGCTTCAGTGTGTTTTTTCTTCTCCTCCTGCTCCCACCCCAGGGTTTCTCTTTGTAGCCTTGGCTGGCTGTCCTGGAACTCACTCTGCAGACCAGGCTGGCCCTGGACGCACAGGAAAGCGCCTGCCTCTGCCTCCCAAGTGCTGGGATTAGAGCTCTGCCCCACCACCCCAGGGGGTCAGTGGCGTGTGGTTCTTGTGTGTGGTTCCTGGAAGACTGGTTTACTTTTTTCATAATACGTGGACATCTGAGATTCTGATTTACTTGGTGGCAATCACTTCTCATTACCTCTGAAGCTTCTCCACAGCATGTCCAGAGCTGAGCCCTCTTTGAAAATTTTCTGGACAGCTGTGAAGCTGTAAAGGACCGGGGAAACTGAGCCTGTGAGAGTGGACTCTACCTAGCAATTTGTCTGTAAAATCTCTATCTATCTATCTGTCTGTCTGTCTATCTATCTATCTATCTATCTATCTATCTATCTATCAATCTATCATCTATGTATCTATCAATCTATCTACCATCTCTCATCTACCTATCTATCATCTGTGTGTGTGTGTGTGTGTATAAAGGAGGGGTCCCGGCTTCTCAGAGCTCTAATTTTAGAAACAACCAGATTGCATTACATATTTATATCCACAAAGAAAACTAGTAGGCTGGAGAGAGAGCGCACTCACTATCTGTCTGCCTTGGCTGAAGAGCAACACAGATTGTGAAGTGCCGAGTGTGTGGGTGGGCGAAAGAAGTTTCTGTGGAAGCCGCTGTGTGTTTGTTTTCTCACCTGCCCTGTGGTTTGGGCCCCTCTGGCTCTCAGGCGCGCGTGGTCTTCGGAGCAAAAACTCTGGACTCCTCACATTTGCCTGTCTGTTCCCATCGCCCCGGGGCTCAGCGTGAAGTGAGTGTGAGTCCAGGGGAGCGCTGACCGGAAGGCACCTAGCCCTAGCCCTAGTGTTCGCTAAGCATCCATTCCAACTCTGACTTGTGGAAACAGCCCCAGCTGACGGCCTGCTCCCCTGGGAGAGTCACCTGCCGTCCCCTTCCTTTCCGCTCGCAAACCCATGGGAGAGCCCCGAGGGCCTCGCCGCCCTGTTTTTAGGCTCCACCAGTGAGGCTAATTTTCAGGTGACTGTGTACGTGCCTGGCCCAGGCTCCTGTGCGGCGACACACCGAGAGGGAGCGTGCTCGTGTCAGGGACCGGGCGGGTCCATATCCGGGTGGACCGGGTGGGTAGAGCCGTCCCTCCCTCCAGGTCCCGAGGTGGGTTAGGGGTGGAGGGAAGGACCTGCGGAGATTTCAACCCCCCGTCACCCCTCGGGAGAGCGCAGGACGCGGATGTAGGGCGTGCCCACCCAGCCCTCCCAGCCGGCCCTGGGAGCATCCCCGGCCCCGAGCCATCGCAGGGGACGTGGAGCTGGAGGAGGAGGGACCTGGAACCCCGAACTTGCCCGAGAAGTGGCTGGAGGGCGGGGCCGGGCCCTGGTCGAGGCGGGAGGAGGGGCGGCCGCAGCTGCATCCAGCCCGGCTGGCTTCCTTCCCAGCCCCTTTTCCCTCCTCCTCCTCCTCCTCCTCCTCCTCCTCTTCCTCCTGTATGAGTCAGGCATTTCCCGGGGAATCGGAGCAGCCACGCGCGGCCCCGGGAGCCCGGAGCTGCATAGCGGCGGCGGCAGCCGAGGCGGCGGCGGCGGCGGGGCTGCCACGGCGGCGGCCACCCGCGCCCCGGGCGCGCAGCGGTCATGGAGAGGGCGGCCCAGGGCGCAGACGGCGGCGGGGGCAGCAACAGCAGCAGCCGGAGCAGCAGCCGCGCCACCTCGGCGGGCTCCTCGCCCTCCTGCTCCCTGGCTGGCCGAGGGGTGGCCGGCCGCTCGGCGGCGGCGGGACCGGGCGGCGGCGGCAGCCGCAGCAGCCCCGGCTCGGTGGCCGCGAGCCCGTCCGGAGGAGGCGGCCGCAGGAGGGAGCCGGCGCTCGAGGGCGTGCTCAGCAAATACACCAACCTCCTCCAGGGCTGGCAGAACAGGTAACGAGCCCGCCGCCCGCGCCCCCGCGCGCTCCCCCGCCTCCCGGGTGTGGACCGTGGCGCCACCCGCGGCCGTCCTCCACCCTGCCGGGCACCGCAGCGGCGGGCGGGAGGCTGGAACCCTGGAAGCTTGCGGAATCCGGAGTGGCCACGGGGAGAGCCCGGGGTGGTTCCGGTGGCTGGCGGGTTCTCGCACCCAGGAAGAGGCTGAGCGGGACAGAGTGCGCGGTGCCCGGTGCAGAGAGCGGTCAGCGCAGCTGTCCCCACCCCGCAGCTCGTGTTTAAAGCGCGGTTTTAAAACACAACAAACAGCACTGCTGCCAACAAAGAGCCTGCCCGTCTTCGGGTGTCCTCCCCCTCCCAGCGTTCCCATGCCCCTTCCCCAGTGGGTGGCTTAAATGTGCAGTTTGCTATGGTTATTTCCCCTTCAGGTACTTGTGAAGTTTCTTTGCTTCCCCTCTCAAAGTTGGCGAGCCTTGACCTGGGCGTGGTGGCAGATGCTTGTTAGCCTGCGCTGCAGAGGCCGAGGCTAGCCTGGGCTACACAGTGAATTCCAGGCTTGTGTGAGCCACCTTGCCCCAAGAAAGAAGTTAGCAAGTCTAGTGATGGACAGGCTTCCGGGAGGATCTGTGTGTCAGAGAGTGGGGTTCTCAGTATAGTTGGGGTGATGACAGTGTGTGGACTTCAGTTGTATGGGAGAACTTAAGGATCGGAATGATCTCTCTCTCTCTCTCTCTCTCTCTCTCGTGTGTGTGTGTGTGTGTGTGTGTGTGTGTGTGTGTGTCTGCCTGTCTGTTTGGAGAAAGGTGAACAGCCCATGCAAGGACACCATGGGGTGACCTTTGACCCTTCTTTCAGCAGCCCTGGGTCTTCACTTGGGACCCTTACATGGTTTGTGCCGCTGAGAGTTGAGTCCCACGCTGGAGCCTGGCTTATCTCTGCTGGCAGGGCCGGATCTCCCTCCTAGCTCTTCCCTCCGTCTGTTTGGAAACGTACTGATGGTTTCCAGATGAGACACGAGACACGCGCTGTCAGAGGCCGAAGCTCTGCTTGCGGGAAGAGAACCTTGGATGTAATGGAAACGGAGTAGTTCTAGATAGAGCTCTGACTCCCGGCTCGCCCAGGGTTTCCTTGGAAATCCGTTACTATGTTAGTGGAGTTGCTTTTAACTTTTGAGTCTTTTTTTTTTTTTTTGCTCCCTCAAAATAGCTTAGGCTGCTGCTCTTACCTCCCCCCACCCCTGCTTTTTAAAAGCTGAAAACAGAGGTAGAGTGCGTAGGAGGGGAGAGAGAGGAGACGACTAAATGCCATCGCAGGTCTGGAAAGTTGTGTCTCTGAATGGCAGTTGACGGTGACCTGTGGGAGACACCTGGAAAGCGTGTTGAGCAATGCTGTCTCAGGCTGCCTCGGAGCTCGCGGGGCCCAGCACTCGTTTGCCCTAGATAACGCACGCGCCTTTTCTTTGCCTGGCCATAGTATTTTACCTGCCATGTGTATTAGAGGATTTTGCTCTTTGTAGTGGATTTAGGGCGGATTTGGAGTTATGTCCTTTTTTTTTTTTTTTTTTTAACCAGTTTTTAAACCTGTTATGGTGTTTCCACTGCAGTCAGAGTTTGAGAAAAAGCAAACTAGCTACTAGCAATCACAAACTTAACCCAGGTAAAGTCTTGTGATCGTCCACTCTACCCATCATGCTCAAGTGCCTGTGGCTGCCAGTGCGTGTTCTCACTCACTTCCCCAAGGCATTTTCTCCAGTGGGGGATGGCTGTGTCCTGGCCTCTGCCCTATGCCGTGCGCTCTCTGCTCCAAGGTCCGTTAGAGGTCAGTGGATGTCTTACGAGGACCCTGTGGGAACACACTGTTTCTTTCTCTGGGGGTCTTGTACAGAGAAAGCTGTATCTGTGAAGAGGAAGAGAGAAGAGGACCAAAATAGACCCCATTAGGCAATGGAAACCTTGTTCAGTTATTTTCTTTCATCATCACGGACATTTAGTGAGTATCTGCTTTGTGCTAGGCCCTTCTGAAGTAGCTGGTGCCCTCAGGAGGCAAGTCACATGGGCGGGGGGGGGGTCGTCTCAGGAAGTGGCTGGGGACAGAACTGAGGCGCGGCAGGAGCCCACCTGTATTAGAGCCCCCTTTTTGAAGCAGAATTGGTGTTTATTAAAAGAGATCTTAAGGGGCTGGAGAGATGGCTCAGTGGTGAAGAGCACTGGCTGCTCTTCCAGAGGACCTGGGCTTAATCCCCAGCGCCCACATGGCGCCTCACAACTGTCTGTAACTCCAGTTGCAGAAGCTCCGACAGCCTCATACAGACATATATACAGGCAAAACACCAATGCACTAAAATAAACACATAAATGCTAAAAACCCAAAATATAAGGCTTTAAAAAGACATTTTAAAAGTTATGACTTTATTTGCGTGTGTGTGTGTGTGTGTGTGTGTGTGTGTGTGTGTGTGTTCACTTGTGTAGAATAGTCCCCACCTGTGGGGAGTCAGTTATCTTCTGCCATGTGGGTCCTAGAACAAAAGTCGTCAGCTTGGCGCCTTTATCCTCTGAGCCATTATGCCAGTTCCAAGGACATTTAAATACAGGTTTGAAGAGTGAGTGAGAAAGGAAATGGAGAGACTCATGGGAAGAAAATAGGAGCGAGATGGCATAGGGTCCCTGAGAGACTGTCCCTTTTTCGTTGTCATTGTTTTTGAGATGGGGTCTCATGTCACCCAGCTGGCCTCAAATGCAGTGAGAGCAATCAAAGCAGGATGAAAACATGTATTAACAGTCTTCCGTAATTCACAATTACACATAGGACAAGAAAACATTCGGAAACCAGGCATGGGGCTCAGGCCTATAGTCCCAGCTCTTGGGAGGCTGGGATATCAGGAATTTAAGGCTTGCTGGGCTACAGAGGAAGGCCTTGCCCTCAAAAACAATAAAAAAAAATAAAATAGATTTACAGGGTGGTTTTAAGGGATAAATTCCTCGTAACCAACATTCAGGAGACCTTCAGGAGACAGGTGGGCTGGGAAGGCAAGGGGAAGGGAGTGCGGAGCAGGAGACAGGCATCTGCAGGAGGCTCTTAGTATGCATCAGTTCCATGCCCATTCAAACAGAACACTAACTGCTTTAAAATGTTTTTTTAAATTAAATTATTTATATTACATTCGAAACAACTGAGTGTGCGTGAGCCTGCGCACACACAGGCATGCGGCACAGCATACAAGTGGAGGGCGGAGGACAGTCTGTGGGGGTCTGTTTTCTCCTTCTGTGGTGTGGGACCCAGGGATTGAACTCAGGTCCTCAGGCTTGGCTGCAAGTGCCTTTACCTTTGAGCCAGCTTACCGGCCCTGCTGTCTGTACACCTTGAAGCCTGTGTGAGAATATCGGGGGTGCTAGTGTGCTTTAGTTCACTTGGTTGCTGAGTTTTTGTGTTGTTTTGTTATTCTGAGACAGGGTCTTACCCAGCCCAGGCTGGCCTCACACTCGCTGTGTCGCTGAGGATGGCCTTGAGCACCCTCAAGGTTCTGCTGCTTCCCCTTCCCCAGTGCTGGGGTTGCAGGCACGCCAGCATTGATCCAGGGCTTGTGCATGCTAGGCAACTGCTCTACCAGCTGAGCCTGGCACTTGCTTCTTTTCAATATTCAAACTTTCGGGGGCTGGAGAGATGGCTCGGCAGTTACTGCTCTTCTACAAGACTTGAGTTAGGAGCCTGGAGTGGTGCCACATGCCTGTAATCCCAGCACTCAGGGAGGCAGAGGCAGGTGGATCCTGTGAGTTGGAGGCCAGCCTGGTCTCCAAAGCGAGTCCAGGACAGCCAAGGCTACACAGGAAACCCTGTCCTGAAAAAAAAAAAAAAAAAAAAAAAAAAAAAAAAAAAAAAAAAGACTTGAATTTGGTTCTTAGCACTCACGTCAGGAATCTGACAACTGCCTGTAACTCAGCTCCAGGGGATCTGGTGCTTGATTCTGGTCTCTGGGAATGCTGAATGGCATGTGTTGTACACACATGCCCATACACACACACACACACACACACACACAGATACACACACGTACACTTGCACACACACATACAAAATATTTTAAAATTTTTTAAAAATTACTAGTTCTAAGCCAGGTGTGGTGACACATGCCTGTAATCTCAGCACTCAGGGAGGCAGAGGCAGGTGAATCTCTGAGTTCGAAGCCAGCCTGGTGTACAGAGCAAGTCCAGGACAGCCAGGGCTACACAGAGAAACCCTGTCTCAAAAACAAACAAACAACAAAACCAGTTCTGGACCTTCCTGTCTTCTCTGTGACATGTATGTTACTAGTCCTGCTCTGTGAAGAACACTTCCTTCTGTGGCCAAGGAGGCTGACAATTCTTGTGTCATGAAGGCTGTGACTTAGGGCTGTCACAACCCTTTCGGGTGGCGTCTGATGACCAACTTGCCGGGGCTTTCTTTTGGATTCTGTCTCAGATAACTTTAGATTTTTGAGAATGTAGTTTAGTCTCCTTTTGCTACATTTGGGGCTACTTTTCCTATTAAAAAAAAAAAAATCACTGGAGGGCTGTGGCTGTGGCTGTAGCCCAGTGATATTTGCTTCCTATATACAGGGTTGTGGATTTTATATTCAACTCCCAAACGCACACACATGCATATGTGTATATATATGTACATATGAGATATCAATATGTTAATGTGTAATATTAATATATTAATATCATATTAATTTGTAAAATACACTAAATAAAATGAACATATTAGCTGAGTGTGGTGGTGCACACCTTTACTCCTAGCCCTCGGGAGGCAGAGGCAAGAAGATTATGAGTTCTAGGTTAGCCAGGGCTACAAAGCGAGACCCTGTCTCAAAATAAAATGAAATGGACATAGTAGATGCATTCTGGGTACTGGAATACTTCCAGAGGCAACTGGCTGCTCCAGAGTTGGAAATCTCTGTCTTGGGCTTCCATTTTTGCACTGAAAGTGTTCAGGTGTGGCTCCTCTCTAGGCTGCTGGGC